CATCACTCCTGGAGATCATTTACTACTTCTGGAATTAATAAGAGCTGGAAGTTTGAAGCCTTCTTGTAAATAGCAGTGCCATAGTGGAAGCAGGCAAGGATTCTGGTTTCAATCATTTGTACTTTCTTGGGACAAAACCAGATTTCCTACCTTGTGGGATAGGAAAATCCCCACATCCTACCACATGGGGATGATTTCACTCACTTATGGCAGAGAAGAGTCCAGGGATTTTTGTCCATTTGGCATTGTCTTAATACTCTGCACACAGCAGAGCAGTTTTGATGTTCTCCTTCTCCTGGTGACGTTTGAAGATCATTCATTTACTAGACTGAGCTCCTTACTGTTTGCAATTTGTCTCTGCATTTCCTACAGAAGTGGCTTTCAATGCTAATGGCACATTGTAATCATCTGGAAAGGTTTTTTAAAAAAGCCCGACTCCTAGAGATTCTGATTCAATTGGTCTGGTCTGGAGCCCAGCTTGTGATTTCAGAACATGCCCCAGGTGAGAGCTGAGTATATCGTGCAGCAAGGTTGCCTATGGTGTCTAGGACAGTTCTCTGTGCAGGGCAGGCAGTCTCCAGGAAATGACAGGTAAGCTGAACTGCATTGATAGACACATGGGTTACACAGTGCCAGATGATTTTGGGTGAAGACATATCTGGACATATTCTCAATGCAAGCATCTTGTGGTGCCTTTAGCAGCTCATCATTTTTGGGTAAACCATAGGAGTCTAAGGGTTTCACCTTCGCTCAACTGGTAACTCAGTTTGTTTTTGTTTTTGGCTGCCTTTGGGTGTTGTGCCTTTGTTCATCAGTAAAATGGGGGTAATCAAAGTCTGAGGTTGTATTTCTGTTTGAAGCAAAAACTAGTAAATATTTGCCACAATGAGCTTTGTGTAAAATCATCAAATTACTGCTATGCAAATGCAGATGGAGTTTTGGAACAGAAGCAAGAGGAATGTGGCTAGAGTCTTGTCTAACAGTAGCTGATGGATAGGGCTCAGTGGTGACATGGGTGGAATATGATCCTCCTATCAAATCTTGTCGTCACGACATTTGTGCCACTGAGGGAATGCCACAGCCTCCACTCACTGAGCGTTAAAACTATCACATCTTCTTTGTATTAGCTGAAGGGGCCCTGGCTTCTAGACTCTTTCCACGAACTGGATGTGCTGTTGGCCACAACACCAGGGTGGGGGGATTGTGGTTCCCTGCTCTGACCACCAGCACCGTGGGAGCCCTGTGCACTCTGCTGGCATTACCTGCCCACATCTGCAAAAGCTGCTCACACTGCGAGCCCCAGCTCTCAGCCTTGGGCCTGCAACCAGGCATGAAGTGGTTACTTGAGATCCTGAGCTGCAGATCCTAGTTTCCTGGGATGACCCCTTTTCTTCCTCTAATTCTTCATCTCTGGTTAGAACTGGAGCTGTACGCTGTGCTTGTGCGCATGGACTCCCTACTCCTCTGCCCTTCCTGTATCAGCCTGTGCACTCCAACCTCTCCTGTGTTCCCTGACCACCTCCACCCTGAAGGCCTATCCAGCAGACCCTATGAGACCAGGATAGGCAGCTTCAAAAGGTAGCCATTGAGAATCTGCCTTAGTCTAGCAGAGGTTTAATGCCCCTTTCTCACATCTGACCTAAAGTCTTAATTGATATTTGGCACTGTTCCATAAATATGTCTCCCTAGAAATGGAAAATAGCTATTTCTCTATTTTATAATAATTTTGCCATTAATGAAGCAATGGGCCCTCTCATCTTGGAATAAATCAACCCAGTGTTTTCAGTTTCTGTTAACAGTCTATGGGCTATCTCCCCTCATTGCCTCTCAGCCTAGAGTGTGAAGCCACACACAGTACCTTCAGAAAACAGCAACCAAAGACAATTTATTTTGTGGGTAGGAAAATGAGGCACAGAGAGTTTCAAAGACTTGTAACCATAACAAGTGAATGGGACTTGAAATGAAGATTCTCACCTTCATAGAATGGGGGTAGGCAGAGGTGGTGGACATGAACAACGATGCAATAGAATGTACACTTAAGAAACTTGGGCTACAGAGATGAACAGATCTTCATGTTGTTCCAGTTTTCTTATTTATAAAATAAGAGAACAAGAATACTTAGCCAATCAAGATGCTGTGCTGATTAAAAGAAATGTATGTGGAAAGGACTGGCATAGCGTTTGGTATATAAGAGGTTCTCATTAAAAGCATACACACACACATGAACACACATGTGCATGCAAGCATGAAGTTAGTAGCTTTGAGGGGTTTCTTTCCAAGGTGCAGCCATAACCCATAGGTTCCCTGACATAGCTCCTGGTAGAATCTGCCTCTGCAGGATCCTTAAGTTGTTATTTATCTCAATGTTGGCCTTCATGCAGGGATGGATGTTCTGGAGAATGACCCGCAGGAACCCCAAGAGGGGCTCTCAGGCTAGCAATGGATGCACTTCTGTCCTGCTGCACAACCAGAGGCAGGAGATAATCTAGATGGCAGCTCTACTCTTTCCATACCTGTGATTCCTGAAATCTGTTGAAGTGTAGGGGGTTCAACAGTATCTGCTTCATTTTGATAAAATGAGGCAATGTTTATAAGTGAGACACAGCCCAGTGACTGGCACGTACTAAGTACCAACACATATTAGCAGTTCTTAGTAGTGGTAGTATTTTTAAATCCAAAGCTAGATTGGGTCAGAGTGCTTCCAGTTGTCCTTTCTCCAGCCTGGGGGGCAAATGAATAGGCTCAAGATTAGGGCCCATCTAAAGAAAGTCTATGCATTTGTCTTTGCATTTCCTACAGAAGTGGCTTTCAGTCCTAATGGCATGTACTAAGTACCAACACTTGGAGGTCTTGGAGGTCTGCTTTCAAATCTGGGCTCGTCCCAGCAGGGGCATCTGTGCCCTATTTATTTCTTTACTAATTAGTTCATTCAACATACATTTAGTGAGCACTGATTGTTTGTGTGCTCCTGTGCTCGGCACACAAACCTCTGATCTCTGGTATTCATACAGGGCTGTGCCCTTGGCTAACACACATAGTATTATATCAGGAAACCCCACTTCTCAACACAGCCTCTCCATATGCCTGCTAGAAAGCTGGAGAGTTAGGGGGAGCTCTGACGATGGCACCTTGCATGCCAGAGTGTGGAATTCGGAGTCAGGCAAGTGTGTATTGTTTTTACAGATAAGGAAACAGAGGTCGGAGAGGGGAGTACTTTGTCAAGTTCAGAGAGTAATTTAGTGCTGTCTGAGGCTACAACCTTGTTCCCTGATTAGTTTAGGAAACAAGGGCCCTTTCTATCAGACCACTTGCCTCTGCACTAGAGTGGGATAACCTGTCTTTACATTGTCATCTACAGATAGGCGTTGTTTTCCTTTCTGAACAGCAGCATTTCAAGGTAAAATGAAGTAGCTCTTGAGTAAGTCTAAAACAGTGGCTCTCATCTCTGGCTGTATGAGATCATCTTGAGAGAATTTGAAAAAAAACCGATGTGGGAGCTCCACCCCAGACAATTAAAGAAATATTTGTGAGGGTGGAGCTGGGGCCTCCTATTGGTTTTTAAAGCTCCCCAGGTGTTTCTAATATACACCCAGGGCTCCATAGTCTAATATACAGTCAGTCTAATATACAATATAATATACAGTCAGTGGTCTAGTGGGCAGTGCTTCCAAATTCTAATGCACATTTGAATCATCTAGGGATCTTGTTAAGCTGCAGATACTAATCCAGTGGTTCAAGTGCAGCCCAAGGGTCTTCATTTCCATCAAGCTTCCATGTGGTGTTAGTACTGCCAGTCTGTGGACCACACTTGGAGTAGCAGCTCCAGAAAGTACTCTGAGGTTCTAGTTATCCACTTGGTCACTGGCTACTCTAGCCAGAGACCTGGGAGTTATCGCTCTCCTTCATCCTCTCCTCATCTTCTCCCTTTCAAGCCCTTGGGTTTCAGATCTTATCAGTTCCATCCCACTGCTTCTAGCAGCTCCTCTCCTTTCCTAAGGGACTGGCACAACATCCCCCCTGCCTCCCGTTCCCCACCATCACTCACTGCCCTGGCCGTGTTCTTTGCTAGACCGCCTCCTGAGGGCTTTCTTATTCCGTCTTCCCTCTGTCCATGCTTTTATTCTGATTCTGTAGAAGACTCTCTCACTCCGTGACCCATCTCTTAAGAGACCACGGCATCCTGGGACCTACTCTCTCCCTGCAGTCACCCCCTATGACGATTGTCTAGGAACAGGGTGTCCCTCTGGTTGTTTCTGCGTTTCCATCGCGCAGTTCAGCGCCTATCATTCTCAATAAATACTTGTTGATTTTAACAAACAAGACCCTAACCCTGAAAGAGAAAGGCCAAACACAGGCCTCAGCTGCATTTCTTCCGATAAAAATGAACATTCCTTCGAGATTATGCATCAGGCTTTAACTTCCCACTCAGGAAAAAAAAAGAAAAAGTTGATCAAATTTAACAAAGTAAGTGGTTATTTCCTGTCTGAGTTCAGTGGCTGAATACAGGCTCAAAGCAGGCGACGGGACAGGAATGAGAGGATGGATGCTGGCAGGGGCTTGGAGGTCTGCTTTCAAATCTGGGCTCGTCCCAGCAGGAGGAAAGGCTGGAGGACCGGGGTAGGGTGGGGACTGACGATGGGGAACCTCCCCAGCCCTGCAGACAGTCGGCAGCGCGGGGAGGCAGGCGGGAGTTGGGAGCGTGAACTAACTTGGCGCGGAGGGAGGTGCCGCACGCTACAGCCGTTCAGGTTTCGCGTCTTGCGGGCGCCCACATGGGCCGCTGGCTTGCAGAAGGGGGCGGGGGAGAGGGAGGGCAGGTCCGGAGCCAAGCGGGTGGAGGAGGGGGGAGATCGAAGGAAATGAGACAACCTTTTCCTCCCACTGACTCGGGCTCCTCCAGCTTCTGCGGGGCTTGGCGCCGCCGCCCGTGAGCACCCAGGCCGGGACCCCACGTCCCCAGGCCAGCCCTGACCCCGGCGGCCCCTCCGGCAGGATTCCTTTCCGAGGTGCTGGTGCCGGCCGAAGCCCCGGGCAGCGCTTTGTCGCGTCCGCCCCTCGGTGATCAGCTCCGGGTCCCCCTGCTCGGCCCCACGCGCCCCGAGCGCAGTCCCCGGAAGTGCGCGCCGGGGCCCCAGCGAAGGTAAGCGGCGCCCAAGAGCGCACCCTGGGCTCTGGGGCGCCCGGCATCCCCAGCGGGCTCCGGCTTCTCCGGAGCGCCCTCTTTTCGGAAACACCCAGAGCACTTCTGACCTGAAGCCGCTGCTTTGTTCCTAAGCCCCTGCCCAGGTGTTGCAGGCTGGGTTCCACAAGGAACTCTGCTTCCCAGCGCTTTCCTTTTTGCCTCGTCTTCCTCCCACTTTCCTGTTTCTTCTCTCGCCCCACTGCTTCTTTCTGGATAGAACAACTCTCAGCTCCCTGCCTCTGCAGCCCAGCTTCGGAGAGCAGGTCGTTCCCAAATCTGGCGCTTCTCTCCTGCGCCTGTGGGAGCTGGGCTGAGCCTGACTGCCTTCGATCCCAAACCTGCGGGGGGTGGACCTGCAGAAAGTGCTGCACCGTGGACTATTTACCTGATTTGTTTCGGGGGCAGTCAACTCGCCACGCGCATTTGGCGACCCCCAGGACCCCGAAAGCGGAGTGAATTAGGGAGTGAAAGGCTGTTGGCGCCCCCTAAAGTCCCAGTGGGACGCTCTGCTGGTGGAGGGGTGCGCGCAGACAGTCCACGCCGCTCTATCTGGGGGGTCTGCGTGAGGGTCCCCACCCCTACTATTGAGGAGTAAGGGGAGATGTTGGCACGCAATACAGAGCGCGTTGGGGCACAGAGGAAATAAGGATGTCCTGGAAGGAGAGGAGTGCCAACCACATCGTGCTGGCTTGCCATGTTGCTTTTATTAACTGCCTGAGTTCTCATAACAAGCCTATGCATAGGGACTCTTACCTCTATTTTACAAACAGGCAAAATGAGATGGGGCCACACAGCTAGCTAGGAAAGGGCCCAGCCAGGATTTGGGTCCTAGCTGGTCTATACCACACACACACTTCAAGTCCAGCCCTACAGAAGATTCCTTTCTTCAGTCTGAGCAAGAACAGTCCCCCCAACCCCCCACCTCCTTGCTCATAGTACAAGGGACCAGATTTTTTTTCCGTTTTGCCCTAATACACCTTGATTCTATTCAAACCCAATCTACTTATTTAGTATCTACTGTCCTCTGAGTTCAGCGGCAAGCACTGAGGTTTCACCTTTGAACCTTATTAATTCATCCCCTTCTTGGCATCCGGTCTGTCACAAAATGTGTAATACTGTTCAGAAGGCTGGCTTGAATCTCCTTTCCATAAAGGCAGTCAAGCACAGTAGCTCAGAGCCCAGGCCCTGGAGCGAGACCACCAGCTTGAATCCTGGCTGGGGCCTTTCTATACCTTTCTATAGCTGGATTTCCTCATCTGTAAAGCAGGGATGCTAGGGCTTATTAAAGTAATGGTTTTCAACTGGAATTTTGATTTTACTTCCCAAGTGACATCTAGCAATGTCTGGAGACATATTTGGCTGTCATCGTGTAAGTAGAAGAGGATCTCATTCATCTGGTGGGTAGAGGCCAGGGATGCTGCCAAATATCCTTTATTGCACAAGACATCTTCCCTCTCCCCCACTCTGCTTCCAGGGTTTAAGAATCATCTAGCCTAAAATGTTAACAGTGCTGAGGTTGAGAAGCCCAGGTTTAATGTGTCACTTCATGAAGAGTGCCATTATTTCCAGCTCTCATCCTTTTATCTGCTCTAGCTTGGCTGATTATACCAGTCTTTGTCCCTGTCTTTCCCTCCATTCCAGTGCCAGAATTCTGTTGCCAAATCCACAGCAGGTCATGCTGCTATATTGCCTTAATACCGTTGTTGGTTCCCCATTGCTAACAGAAGGGATGGGAATTGGGAATCTGCAGGTGTTTTACAAGCACTGAAGGTAATTCCTCTGCATCTTAAAGTTTGACAATCACTGTCTTTACAGAATAAAATGTAAACCCCGACCTTGTACACATGGCTCTTCACAATTGACCTCACCTTATGCCACTTCCTTTATGTTTCTGACATTCCCTCAACCCACTATTCTTTTGGTATTCTAGGTCCTGACTTTTTGGAATGCCCTTCTTCCTCCTTGGCTGGCAATCAGTCTTTGAGACTAGAAGTCAAGTTTCCTTTTGGGTGAAGCATCATTCTTCAGTTCCTACAGACAATTTTGTTGCTCTCTGCCCTGCCCCAGGTTGCGGGGAAGCCTCAGCCTCAGCGTCCCCTCTCCCCTCCCCTGTCCCGCCTTTTTTAAAAAAAAAAAAATATATATATATATATATATATATATATATATCTTGTAGTATTTTGTTTATCTCTCCCCTGGTCTTACGTACTTAGAATCTAACTCAGTACCATTCATGCTCATGATGATGGCTAAGCTTTCAGGCTTTGGAGTCAGGCTTCTTGAGTTCAAATCTCAGTTCTGCCACTTATTAACTCTGTTAAAAGTTAATTACTTGACCTTGGTCAAGTTGACTCAGTCTCGCAAAGCCTTCTTGGTGAGAAGAAATAGCATACCTTCTCTGCAGACTAGTATGACTAACTAATGGAATAATAATCATTCATCTTAATACTGAGTGCCTACCTAATTGCAGGACATGGTTCAAGTTTAGCATTTTATACGTTTTTACTCATTTAAACCCTGTAATGTCCTTTACAGTTACTACTGGTATTGCCCTATTTTCCAGACAAATAAACAGAGGCACAGAGAGGCTAAGCAGTTTGCCCAGAGTGATGGAGCGAATGAGTGGTAGGGCCAAGATTCACACAGACATCTGGATTTCAAAACACATACTCTTCACACTATGCAGGTAAAGGGCTTAGCCCAGTGCTTGGCGTATAGTAAGTGCTCAGTTAATGTGAGATAAGGTTTGTTAAGTGCATTAATGAGAGCCTAAGTCCACTGGGTTTTCCACCTGCATCATGCTTGTGATTTAAGACTATGCCATCATTTTTACAACTCTTGTTCCTTTCCTTGCCTCCTTGCTTTGCCCCAAGCCACAGAGGGGCAGGACATTGGGGTTACTTCCCAGCACCACTGATCTTTATGCTAAATTGAGCCTAAGTGTACATAGTCAGGGCTAGAAGAGCATTAACTTTTTTTGGGATGGGGGGATGGAGTCAACACACACCTGCCTGGAGGACAGAGGTGCACACTTGGGGTCAAAAACTCTGTGACCCCAGCTTTGTCCTTACCAAGCATGTGCCCTTTGCAGTGTGCACCTAGCATGTAAATATTGGTGAAACCAATTGATGAATGAGGGATGGATGAATAAATGCCACCAGCTCAATCTCCCACATTATACTTGATCAGATGCAAAGTACACCTTCTCTCCATGTATTGTAAGGCTCATTTATCTATTGAAGGTAAAACTGGCTAAGGGAATTTAATAACCCATATTATTAAATATTAAATTCTCTGTTGGAGAAGCAGATTTGGAGAAGTAGAAAACATTCACTGACCCTCTGGGTAAGCTGTGTTTTACACTGGATACTTGGTTACAACTGATCACTAAACTAACTTGGAATCTTTTATTGCTCTTAATGCAGCCTTGGCTTTTAAAGCCGAGCCCACTCCTTGCTAGTCCCTGGGCCACTTGCTCTGTGGGCTAGACTGCCTTACACAAAGACCTGCACATTTGTGTACTCTGGCTTCCTCCACAGCTGTCCTGCACAGCTGTAATCCCCCTGAGTTTGCTTGTTTTGGCAGGTCGTCTCCAAAACTTCAGTGGGATGAGGTCACCTGGCGCGTGTAAAGCCTTGTGGTTTTTTTAGGGGCCAGGGAAACACTCTAGTAAGTGCTGCTTTTGAGGGTTGAGTAGGGTGAGAACTTTCCTGTCCATTGACATCCAAGACTCTTCAGATCCCCACGGCAGGGTCCTCAAACCCTTGGCTGGTCCCTGGCCTGTTAGGAACAGGCCATTGCCTGAGCTCCACCTGCTGTCAGATCAGCAGCTGCATTAGATTCTCTAGGAGTGTGAACCCTATTGCAAACTGCATGTGTGAAGGATCTAGGTTGTGCACTCCTTATGAGAATCTAATGTTTGATGATCTGAGGTGGAACAGTTTCATCCTGAAACCATCTCCCCCTATCCGTGGAAAAATTGTCTTCTAGGAAACTGGTCCCTGGAACCAAAAAGGTTGGGAACCACTGCCCTATAGCACTGCCTTCCCCTTCCCACACCAGACTCATACTGTCTCCTGGCATCATCCCCTCTCCTAGGTCACTAGCTGACTGACCTGAGAAACAAATTTCTTTAGGATATGAATGACTTGAGTAAAAGTGCGACCCAAGATGTTTGGGCATCCCTTGTATTTATACTGAGGCTTTTATAGCTTGGCACGGAAGATAAACTAGCCCAGGGTAGAAATGTCAGGCTTGGTGCCAGGTCTTGAGGCCTCTGATGTCACATCTTGTTGGCTGCCACTTTGGGTAGCACCTCTTAACTGACCTGCGGCAGACTTTCTGATGAAGCTGGCCCCTGCTTTATGTGTCTAGTTCTAGGGAGATACACTTTCCCCTATTTACGCTGTATTCTCTGTGAAATGCACTGTGTTGTTTGACTCTGCGTGAAACTCTGTTTAGTGCTGTAAAGGGCATTTGGTGTCAGACTAGAGTGGTGGCAGAATCTTGAGGTATTAGTGTGGTCTTGGAATACATGTGCAATAAGTAGCTCTGTGCAGGTGCTAGAGACACAAAGATGAAAAAGATCTGGTTTGTACCATCAAGATTGCAGTCCATGACATATGTTGGTCATGTGAATAGATCATCAGAGTGTGTTATATAGAATAATTCTATATATTCTCTATATTCTCTGAGCAGAGAATTGGGAGCTCAAAGGAACCAGCACCATCTCTGCTAGAAGAGTCAGGAAAGGCATCAGAAAGAAGATGTTTGAGCTCGGCCTTAACATGTAAGCGGGAGCTTGGTGGGTTTGAAGGGACTGGTGATTAAAGAGCATTACAAATAGGAAACAGCATGTGTAAGAGTCAAGAAAGGGCCTGGAAGACATGTAGGCATATGGTGGGGGCTGGAGGGCAGAGATGGGCCTGGGGAAGTGACTTTGACATTTGACCAGTCCAGGAGTCTGTCTCTGTACTGTTTTGAGACAATGGAGTGAGCATTTAAAGCTCAGGTGTGCTGAGCTCTTTGAATAGTGGCTCTGCCTCCTCTTATCTCTGCTGGCCTTGTTTCGTCCTGGGGCAGTGGGACCAGAGCCCATGGGTCAGGGAGGGACACTGTCTCTAGTAAGCAAAGAAATCACATCAAAAATAAAGCTGAGCTGGGAGGTCGTGGATAGTTGTTTTGTTTTCTTTTCAAAGCCCTAGCTGATGAGCTATGTGAGTGGCCCCTCCAGAGTCTGGGTTTTACCTTTAGAGCATTCAAAAGTCTGTATGAATTGCTAAGCAATTGCTAAATTTCTCCAGACTTAGAAAGGGATGGGGAAACAGAGGGAAGGAAGGGGGGAGGCAGTGGGGACAGAGAGAGAGAGAGATTGAGTTTTGATGCTAAAGTTTGTTTCATATAAAATCCAACCTGGGATCCAGCAGATCAACAGCTATTAGGATTGACACATTTCCTGGGAATTGCATTCCCATTTGCAGTCTTTCTTTGAGCCCAAAGCCTTTTGCATGTGCTGATTGCATTGTACTCCCCACAGAGGACGGGTGCATATGCTTATTGATGAGACAATTGATATAGGTCCTTTTATAGGTCATCCCCAGGCTTTACTCATTTATTCACCACTTAGTGACCCCCTGGCACATAGGAGGCACTTAGTAAGTGATAGATGAGTGAATGAATACTCTAGCATGGAATTCCCATTCCTGGACCTCAAGATGCTCGTGGTCTGCAGGAAGAGATAGACAAGGAAACAGACAACACAGTATGGTGGATTAGTGCCATGACAGAGAAGATGTAAGTACAGAAGAAGACTCACTCCAGCCAGTGATCAGGGATTAGAGACAGGGAGAAGAATGCTGTCTTCTGGGACCAGGGAAGTGGTCCCAGGAGTGGTTCCTAGAGATCAGTTATAACCTGGGGTGGGTGCCAGGCACTGTGCTAGGGACTTTAGCTGCCTTTATTGCATGGATCCTGACAAACACCCTCTGAGGTCTGTATTAGAGGAGGAATCAGGGTCACACCCACAACTAAAAGGCAGAGCCAGGATCAGGTCAAGGGCATCAAACTCTGAGCCCTTTATCCCGCTCCAGATAGTCTCCAGAGAGCTGTTATCATCAAAGATACTTTTAGAAAATCTGTTTTCGAAAAAGGAGGTGAAAGAGTATGGGCCACTGTGGTTGGGATAGGAATGGCCATTTCCTCCCCACTTTTCCCCCTTTCCTTCTCCCCAGCCTGGCATCTGAGGCTGTGCCTGGGGGAAGTGAGACGCTCTTTGTTCTGGGGTTCACAAACTCTCTTCCTCCTCTTGCCCTGTCTTTGATCACTAAGGCAGCCTGCACTTTGCCCTCCATGGTGAGAGGAGGGGGAAATGCTGCTTAGTAGAGAAGCAACCATAAACTTGCAAGGAAAAGAAGACTTTTTACAAAACACCTGCTGTAATTTAAGCCTCTCCCCTTTTGCCCTGCCCCCTCCTGCCCTTGTCATTCAGATGGGGCCGGCAGTAGCTGCAGGGAACAGACTTCAGGGGATCTTGTTTCTGCAAGGGGACTTCGATCAAAAGGGCTGCCTAAAGCTGTCTTTCTCTGGGCACCTCCACAAACATGCTCATCTTGTCAAGACAAGACAGGCCATGGCAGCCCATGGGAGGAGGCGGACAGGTCCTCTTACTGGAAGAAGGGTGCATTTCTTTCCTGAGTTCCCCCATCCTGAGTGCCACTTGGCCGAGCAACCTCTGACAGTGGCATCCTTCTTTGCTGCACCGAGATGTGGCTGTGAACCTGAAAGCAGGCAGAATGAGCACTGGAAGAGAGTCAGCAGTGCCATTTACTTGCTGTGAGGCCTCGGTCCCTTAATCTCCTAGTGGGTCAGTCACGCAGGGCAGAAATGGTTAGCCTGGGCATTCACCAGTGTTAGACCCTGCTGCATGTCAAACGCAGGGTGCACTGTAGGATCTCGTGGAACTTCAGAAGACAATGACTCAGACATTTAGTCTGAAAAAGACACACATGAAAGTAAAAGTGTCCCTTTGGGTGTGCTCATGTGTTCACAGAGACAGCTTGGTGACCTTGGTGTGTCTGCTCAGCTCAAGCTGCCAACACTTACTGACACCCTCGTGTGCCAGGCACAGTTCCAGGCCTTGGAAGCAGAGATGAACAAGATACTTTTTGTGCCCAAGGAGCTCAGCAATCCAGTGTGGAGACAGACAAGGGAATCAGAGATAGTAATGCAATGTTTTGCTGTCCATCTCTCATTACAGTAAGTTCTCTGAAAGCAGGACATATGTCTTGTTGATTCCCAAATCACCAGAGCCTACTGTAAACTCTGGCATATGGTAGATGCTCAGTCGATGAATGTTGTACTACCTTAAAGTGCCATCCTAGAGGCAATCACAGGGTGCTACACGCACCCACAGGAGGGACACCTAATCTCAGCTTGGAGAGCAGGTGAGTCCAAGACAAGATGCATCGAAGAGGCTGAGATGGAGCATCCAGACTGATGAGAGGAGAAGTGGAGCCTAGGCAGATGGGCCGGTGAGAAGTCCAGCATGTCCAGGTGAGCAGGCCAGGGCTGTTTCAAGAAGGGAAGGCAGATAAGCATGGCTGGGGACAAAGGAAGTCAGTCTGTGAAGGGGCAAGGTAACCACATCTGAATTTACTAGAGAATTGGAATTTTACTTTGAAGATAGTGGGGAGCTACTGCAGGATTTCACACGGAGGAGAGACTGGGTCAAAGTTTTGTTCTAATACTGTTCTGGCAATAGAGTAAATATTGGAGAATAATAATATGGGTGGCAAGAAGACCAGTTAGCATGTTATTGCAGTTTAGGGGATGAAAAAGCCTGGGATTTGGAGTCAGATACATCTCAGCCTTCTTCCCAGCCACACTCCCTGTAACTTGGGCTGTTTAGCAAATGTCTCTGAGCCTCTGTCTTATCTGAAAACAGCAGACTCTACTTCCTCCCTTATGGGTGACATGCATAGTAGTCAGGGTTACACACAATGAAGTATGTGAAATGTCTACTACAGTGGTTTATTTGTAATTGGCATGTCATACTAGTGGCCAGTATTATTTTTAATATTATGTTTTAATATTGTGACTTACTACCATCTAGGTGAGAAATAATGAGGTCCTAATAAGACACTGGTAATTAGGGTGGAGAATTGGACAGACTTAAGAAAGCCTTTGGCAATAAAGTTGGCATGACTTGGTGACTGACTGAACGGGGGAGTAAGGGAGGAGCAGGAGTCTAGGATGATTCTGACATTTTGGCCTGGCAGCCAGTGGGAAGGATAGTGGGGCTATTCATTAGGAGAGAGAAGGGACGGGGAGGAGGGAGCAGCATTTATAAGAAGGATGATGAACTCAGTTTCAGATATGCTGAGTTTGAAGTATTATGATAGTCTGGGAGAGACGGCTAGTGGGCAGATGTGTTCTAGGTTTGACATTCAGGAGAAAAGTCTTCAAGATTTACAAGAAAGCTCACTTTTTTTTTTTAAGAGACAGAGTCTCACTTTGTGACCAGGCCAGCATGCAGCAACACAATCATAGCTCACTGCAGTCTTGAACTTGAACCCGTGGGCTCAGGCAATCCTCCTGATTCAGCCTCCTGAGTAGCTGGTACTACAGTCATATGCCACCATGTCCAGCTAATTTGTAAAACTTTTTGTAAAGCAGGGTCTCACTATGTTGACCAGGCTGATTTTGAACTCCTGGCCTCAAGCGATCCTCCTGCCTCAGTCCCCCAAAGTGCCAGAATTACAGGTGTGAGCTACTGTGCCTGGCCCACAAGCAAACTTTAACCAAAGGTAGTGAAGTCATGGTGTGGATCAGTTGGTTACGGAGGGTTATGGAGTATGGGAAGAGGAATTATAATAGCTTATGTTTATTGAGTGTGTACTGTATGTTCTAAACACTTTATGTGTATTAATCCTCTCAACAACCATTGTTAGGAAGTACTACTATTAGTTTGCCTATATTACAGCTGAATAAACCTAGGCACAGAGATGGTAAATAATTTGCCCAAGGTCACATAGCTATAAGTCATGGACCTAGGATTTTAAGTCAGCTATCAGGATGCCAGACCTGTGCCAGATTGCTTCTGAGAATGGCAGCACTAGGGCACAACATTGACCTCAGGGAAGGAAGGAGAGGATCCAGTGAAGTCAACAGGGAAGGGGATGTGCAGAAAGGCAGGAGGAAATGGGAGACTGGGATGTGGAAGAGGAGAGTTTCCAGGAGAGGGGGATCAGCAGCTTCAAATGATATGGAAGAACAAGAGATCTGAAATGCCCATGGATTTGGAAATTCCGAAGCTATTGATGACTTGGTGAGGGGAGTCTAACAGATGAGGGGAGCTGATGAACAAATGTGAGGTGAGGAAGCAGACATACCAAACTTTAGCAATTATATTTAGAAGTTTGGCTATAAAAGTAACAAGAGAGAAAAGACAGCAGCTAGAGGTATTAGGTAAAGACAGTGTTTTAAAGATGGAAAAGACCAGCACTTTTTTTTTTTTTTGAGACAGAGTCTTGCTCTGCCACCCAGGCTGGAGTGCAGTGGCACAATCTTGACTCATTGCAACCTCTGCCTCCTGGGTTCAAGTGATTCTCCTGCCTCAGCATCCCAAGTAGCTGGGATTACAGACACACGCTACTATGCCTGGCTAATATTTTGTATTTTTAGTAAAGACAGGGTTTCACCATGCTGGTCAGGCTGGTCTTGAACTCCTGACCTCGTGATCTGCGCACCTCGGCCTCCCAAAGTTCTGGGATAACCGGCGTGAGCCACCGCACCTGTATGACCTGCACATGTTATAGAGTGGCCACAAATGGACTATGCATGCTGGGAGAGGTGTCTCTATCTTCGCTTCTCTTTTCCACACAGATTTCTAATATTTCTCTTCATATTCTGGATGGCTTCCATGTTGATAGTTGGACATCATTATAGAAATTCTGGATAGGTGTTTCAGGTCTTCAGCTTTTATTAGGTGGAGCAGAGAAAATTTCTTTCACAATGCCCACTGGTGAGCATTAACAACTCACTTATTGTTAAGTCCAGACCATGTCAAATTCAGGTGCATTCAGTATATCATCCACTGAATTTGCCTCAACGTGTTCTCCAAGAGAGCATGATGTGCTGAAGCTCCACTTCAGGCATGGGGAATTGGCATCTGCTGTGTAGATACCTGGAGGTAAGGATGGCAGCAGCACCAAGGTTTCAGGAGGAAGGAAGAGGACCTAGAGCATAGTGGGGTTGTGGGGAGGAGACACCAGCTTTGGACTGGAGAAGAGACACCTGCTTCTCTGAGCAATGGGAAAGGTAGTTGGGGATGAAGACAAATATATAAGAGGAGACAGAGTTGTTTAGATCTTGTAGGAAATGAAAGGCCCGTTATGAGATTTACCGGAGTGACAACCCTCTGCTTGGAATGACCCTAGAGGATTTGACCACTGCCATTTAAGGTCTTAATAATGGAAAAATACGGGCATTTCCTATAAATTCTTTGTTACCAGGCTTAGAGGTTGCATCCCAGAGCCTCCCAGAAGCCATCCCAGAAGATATTTTTATCTAGAGGCAAAGACAATATCTGTTTTCATACCTAAGATTCTTTTGTTCAGACCAGAGGCAGATACCATAGAGGGTTAAAAGTCTGACTTAAACAAGAAATTCAGCTTTGCCTTGGTTCATGTTCATGGTGCTGACATCCCTGAGGCTCAAAGCTGGAATTAGGGTTTGGCTGCCAACTTCATATATTTGCCGTGGTTGAAATGGCATCTTTGCTCTTCTTGGAAACATCTCAGTGAAATGCACACACTTTCACAGAGGGCCTTTATGGAAAGGGCTCTCCCAAAGGGCACCATCCTGAATCCAAAAGGTCACACGGGAAATGGCCTTGGGATATTTTTCTTTCCCCACACAAAGCAGCAGCTCAGCTGAATTATTTGCTTGATCTTGAGCCTTCAGGTGTCAGGAAAAGTAAACAGTGCATCATTCAAGAGTCACATTTCCAGCTTGAACGTTCCCTGGAGGACAGCTTGAAGGTACTGGAGGACACTGTAGGAGGCAAGGAAGGCTCATACCTGCCAGACCCCTCCCCACTCTCCTCCCAGCCAGGTCTCTCACCTGGATGTGGGCATGTGCAGAGTCCCTTTGGCTGGGTGTGGGTGTGATGGACACACAGGGCACTCTCCTTAGGGACCTCCTTCTTCCCTTGGAGAGAAGAAGCTGCAGGTGTTCTGCCCCACTTTTCCTCAGTAGACAAGGAGTGGCGGAAGTGCTTCTCCAGGAAGGTGTAGCTGGGATGCTGTATGACTCCACACAAATGTGGTTCAGTGAAGTTACATAATCCCATACTTGGCTTTATTCCTATTCCACAGGGTCAGAATTTTCTGTCATGAAAAAGGCCTATGTACACATTCCACACTGATTCCCACAAATGAGTGCACAGGACTGTATACATGCGTCAGATATCTATATCTAAGCTATCAGTGGTGCTTCTGCCCATCCAATCTTCTGGATTGTGGCAGGGTACAAAAGGGTTTGGGAGGCAGTACCCTGTGTGCCCATAAAGCAACAGCTATGGTACCTTAGATTCTCTTTCACTTGTATTTGATTTATTAGTTAAAAAAATATGTACATATATTTATATATACATAGTTTGCGTTTAGCCAATCATCAGTTCATTTAATAATTTGAACAACTACGTGGCTGGCTTCAGGCTAGGTGATGGTAAAGTGATGGTGATTCTGTCAGTCTTAGTTCCTGCCTTCTCGGGGCTCACAGTTATTAGGGGTGGGCATTTAAGACATAAATAGATAAATAAAATACATGATGATTACAAACTGGTAACTGCTATCCTGGACCAGAACAGTGTGCTCCAGGAGGAAATGAGAGAGGCTTAGGTTGGGGGTGTCCAGCGAAGGAGAAAGATCTGTAGACCCATATTCACTCTCTACAACATGCTGTCTATTGAAGGGATGTCACAGCGTGCTAAGGGACCTCTAAGGAAGGAGTGCCTGACCCTTGAATAGGGCTGGAAGGCTTCAGAAGGAAGGGACATTTAAAAATAATCTTGAAGAATATGTGAAATTTTTTCATGCGGAAAGGGAGTAGAGATGTTACAGGTGGAAGCAACACGCGGTGTTTGGGGGGACTCTTAATCAGCAAGAGTGGGACATAGGGGAGTGGCAAGAAATGAGCCAGGAGGCCAGGCAGGGTGACTCATGCCTATAATCTCAGCACTGTGGGAGGTCGAG